TTTCAATGTTGTAAACGCATCGTCACACTGAGAATTCCATTTATTTCCAAACGGTTTCCTTGGATAAGGTGTAAACTGCTGGGACAACTTGTGTAATGGCGATGCTATATTACTAAATCCTTTCACAAAACGTCTATAGTATCCTGCTAATCCAAGAAATGACTTGAGTTTTTTCACAGTTGTCGGTTTTTCAAAATTTTGCACAGCACTTATTTTTTCTGGGTCAGTTTTGATTCCCTCGGAGGATATGACATGTCCGAGATAACGAACTTCACTTTGAAAAAAATTGCACTTTGACATTTTCAACTTTAATCCATGTTTCCGGATGATTCTAAACACCGTCTCTAATCGCTTCAAATGTTCTGGAATGTCTTCTGAATAAACAATAATATCATCCAAAAACACAAGTAAAATGTTAAATATCTCATCCCTGAAGCAGTGTTGCATTAACCTCTGAGACGTCGCAGGGGCGTTGCACAAACCAAACGGCATACGAAGATATTCATACAGACCCATTGGCTTTGTGAATGCCGTTTTTTCGATATCATCTTCATGGACAGCTACTTGGTTATAGCCACAGGTAAGATCCATTGTCGAGAAAAATTCTGCACCGCATAGAGCATCAAATGATTCTTCTACTCTGGGTAGTGGATAGGCATCTTTGTGAGTTTTGCTGTTAAGTTTACGGTAGTCCACACATAAGCGGAGCGAATTATCTTTCTTTCTGACTAACACAATCGGAGATGCATATGGACTAGTACTCTCCCTTATAATATTGTTGTTCAACAATTTACGAATATGTGATTTCACTTCCTCATATTGTGATGGGGGTATTCGTCTGTAAGGTTGCACTATAGGCTGATCGTCTGTTGTCCGAATAGTATGGTTTATGGCTGTAGTATATCCTATGTCATCATCATTTTGAGAGAATACATCTTGATTTCGGTAGAAAAGGTTGCGAATTTCTTTCATCTGTGCAGGATCTAAATTCAACTTTTCTATTTCCGGTGGAATTTTGAAATCACTTGTCACTTCCTCTGAATTTGTGGTTTCACTGCACATAAATTCTTGTTGAACAAAAATCTCTTCAGTATTTCCTTTTCTAGTGAATTCGATGTTAGATGAATTTTCAAGTACATCGCCATTGACAAGGACGGCAACTCTTGTTCTGGGTGCTAACCACACATCGTCAGTACCAATATTTGCGATACGAAAGCATAGAAATCCACGGTTCACTTTACTAAGAGTCCGGACAACGATAATGTTTGATGACAAATGCTGAGTAGATGTTAACGGTTCTACCATGGTCTCATACAGTCTTGGCATCTTTGGTGCTGTACCATTGATAACAGTAACAGATTTTCCCGGAATGCGTACTGGAGACTTTGCACAGACTTTAACATATCCTGTGACATCACGTTTAAGATTTCTGTCACATGCTTTGAATTGTTCTTTTAATTTGTAATTTGCTGAAATTTCTTCAACTTTTTCTGTGTACTCTGCTCCGTGTTGCGTTTCTAATAGACTCTTACACAGTGAAATCGTGTTCATTCCCAGAATGGCCGGAATGTTTTCCTTACGCTGACGTGTTTCTAAATCAACGGAATTTTTCACAACTAACACACCCACTTGCTGTAACTGTTGACCCATGACCTCAATGTTGACCTCGATGTATCCAATAAACGGTATAGAAAGTCCGTTAGATGCTTTCAAAGAAAACACAATGTCTGTATTTAATTTGGTTGCTGACTTTAAATGTTTCTCATAAAATGATTCTGTCACGAAACTGATGATCCAGTATCAACTAAACAATTAACACTAACACCATTCATTGTCACAAATACTGAAGGACATTTACCAACTAAACGTGTGTTCATTTTCCATGAGTCCGTTTCACTCCCCTCTATAACGGGACTCGGCATTACGAAGGGCTTTTGTTTTCCTGTTCAGAATTTGTAGAATCCAGTTTTGTTGGGCATTCATTAGCTTTGTGTCCCTGCTTTTTGCATCGGTAACATGTAAGCATGGTAAGTGGTCGAACATAATAATACCAGTTGTTGTCGTAGTATTTTTGTTTGGAATTGACAACTTTTATTAAATTTTCTATCTGACACGATTGTTTCTTCAATGCGTCGGTAAGTTCTTTGATTTTCTTTTCACTTTCACTTTCCGTTTGCTTCGGTATTTTTTCTGTCGATACTTCAGTTTTCTTCTGTGAACTCGATCCCATGCCAACATTCTTGCTGAAATCTTGCCTTGATAGTTGCCTTGCTATGGTAACGGACATTATAAATGATTCCCTAAATCAGTCTGTTGTTCCATCATCCTTTAAGCAGGCTGTTGTTCGTCCTCTCATCAAGAAAGCCGGCTTGGATCCAGAGGAGTACCGCAACTACAGACCTGTCTCAAACCTTTCATTCCTCTCCAAAATTCTCGAAAAAGTTGTTGCTAAACGACTTGATCATCACCTAGAGTCAAATTACCTTCATGACAATGTACAATCAGCATATCGCCCATGTCACTCTCCTGAAACAGCTTTACTTAGAGTCCATCACGATATTGTTGCAGCTTTAGATTCTGGTTCATATGTGGCATTAATTATGTTAGACCTATCTGCAGCTTTTGATGTCATTGACCACTCCATTCTGATAAATCGGCTAGAAATTGGTTTTGGTATATCTGGCTCGTACACCATCATACACCATCATTGTTATGCTGATGATACCCAAGCTTATCTGGTCTTTAAACCCAGGAACAACTGGAATAATACCGCTTTGAGACTTGAAGCATGCCTGGAAGAAATCAAGCAGTGGATGTGTTCCAACATGCTAAAACTAAACCAGGACAAAACAGAATTTATAGTTTTTACTCCGAAACAACAACTCAAGGAGTCTCCATCATACCATCTGAACTTTATTGACACCATCGTGAGAGAGGCGACCAGTGTAAAGAACCTCGGGGTGTGGTTCGATAACTCTCTTAGCATGCAAATGCAAATTTCCTCCGTGTCTCGTGCATGCTCAGGAACATTGGGAGAATACGCCCATTGATTACAGAGGATGCCTGCAAGACCCTGGTCTGTTCTCTTGTGATATCTAGGCTCGACTATGCCAACGCTCTCCTCTATGGCATAAATACAACCGAAATAGCCAAATTACAAAGAATACAGAACACAGCAGCACGCATTATTACTCGTACCAGGAAGAGGGAGCACATTACTCCGATCCTTGTTTCCCTTCACTGGCTTCCAATTGACAAACGCATCCAGTACAAAATTCTTATTTATACTTACAAAGCAATTAACAACATAGCAGCTCATTACCGTATATCAACCTGGTCGTTCCCTTAGATCAGCAAACAAGCTGTCATTGCAAAGACCACACTGCCGAACATCAACCTATGGGAATAGACGTTTTGACGTGGCCGCTGCATCCCTCTGGAACTCTTTACCTCCACATCTGGTTTTATGCCCATCTTTGAACGCTTTTAAAAAATATCTGAAAACTCATCTTTTAAGGAAGCATTCGGTTAAATTTTTATCTTTATGTGTCAAATATAGACTGTTTTTATTTATTTATTTATTTATTTATTGATGTTTAAAGATTTCTGACTTTAAATATTTGCTCTATTGTTTTCAGTTTTTACTTTTCGTGTTTTCATATCATTTAATCATCATTTTGCAAAAATATTTTAAATTTTTATAATGGTTATCAATACTAAATTTTATTTTCTTATGCTATTCAACAAAAATTTTATTCTTGACATTGTATTTATAAATGTATTTTAACGATGTTGTACAGCGCTTTAGAATAATTGTGTTTATTATATAAGGCGCTCTATAAATGTTGTGTAATAATAATAATAAATAATAATAATAATAATTATATGTGCCCTTGTCGATAAGTAAAAATGCTTTTTTTTACATATCAATAAGGTACATACATGTACATATTCATAAACCAAAACCACTGTTACCCGCTGAATAATGAAGCCACGCCCTCCAGCGTAGCAACAGTCAACTGTGCTTGACGACGGGTGATATTCCAAAAAATAGCGACTGCGCAGAATTTATGCGCGCACGGTTCACTGTTACATGTATATGTATTTGTATAAAACATTCAGTATAATAAATATTGCATGTAGTTGAGTGTAACATTGAAAGTTTTCACCCCAAGAAAATCATTGTGAAATAAATATATTTTAAAGACCCTTCCCTATTTTTGCCTGATCTTGATTATCTTCCCTTGAAAGGGAGCACTGTCATTTATTTGAACAATTCAAAATCCCCTTCAGGCAATGATTCTGTGGTCAGTTTGATTGAAATTGGTATAGTAGTTCTTGAGAAGTTAAAATTGTGAAGAGGTTGAGCACAACAACAATATCAGACGAAAACAGAATGCAATTGGTAACTTGAGTGAGTCAGGTGACATAACAAAATTATACTAAGATATTTTGATTATATATGCATTTTTAAAAGAACACAATAAATTTTTGACAATTGTTCATTTAATGCACTGCAAAAATATAAAAATAACAACAGATATATATATATATATTAATTATTTGATAATTTTTTTTATTCCATGTATTGGATGACTTTTATAGCATCTGTATTTAATGAACCAACCCATAACCTTCCTTCACTATCCACACTCTGTGCACAAGGAAAGTCAAGGCCACAATTGTCGATACATTTTAAAAATTGACCATTCTGATCTAAGATATGGAGACAGTTATTATTACAATCACTTATAATGATCTGACTCATTGAATCTATCACCAGGGACATAGGTTGAAATGGATTACTGTAAATGTATTACATTTGGCGTGTATTTGGCGATAATTTTCAACAAGTTAGCGTGGATTTGATTTAGCGCTCTGAAGTTTTTTGGCGTTAATATACAGGACATTTAGCGATGTACTTGAATTAGCGGACTCTGCTTTCCGCCAAAATCGCTAAATAGAATACACCGCTAAATGTAATACGTTTACAGTATTCCTCTTGGCTGGCGTACCGTCGTACTGAAATCGGACCTTTCCCATCTTGTCCACCACTATCACTGTCTTAGCATGAAAATCAAAGGAACAAATGTCACCATTGTTATTTTCCTCCACAACTCCTAATTCCATACCTCTAAAAATTTGCTGTCCGCTTTCGTCTTCATTAATTTCTTGTGTTACTGCCTGTCCCTGAAAGCGAACAATTTTATAATGACTCTCATCTCTCATCAGGAGTACACATACAAACTATTATGTCTCTTGATGTAGCACAGCAAAGTTTCCATGGATGCCATCCTTGAGATAAAGTGATCAGTGTTTCTATCCTTCCCTGTCTGACAATATTTACAGCTCTGCTAAAGTAATCACTGTAAAGCAGTTCCCCCGTCTGGTCACTGAAATGTCAGCAGGACAACCTACACATTCGGTGATAACCTCGTCCTTTACGGATCCATGTATATCTATACGTCTAAGGGTTCTACCTTCACATCTAAGCCAAGCTTCATCAGTTCCAACACAGGAAACTGAATATAAAGGTTTTATTCCAGATGGAATGTTAGCAATTACTTTAGCTTTTTCCAATAATTTTCTTACAGATAAAAAAGAGACTTCATCTTTAAGACTTGATATGGATGTTTGTTTTAATGTAGCTTTGTATTCTGCTAACTCTATGCTGAGTTCGCTCCCCATAAGTATGTTGCTATTTAAGGCAGGGGTCCTTGTATTGACATCTGTAGGAATGTTTGTAAATTCCTTCAGTTTTGATTTGTAACTTGTAACATCAATAACTTTGTTAGACTTCAAGATTTTCTTGTTTTCTGTCATTATATGTGCTAATTTTGGTCCGGAATCCTGTAGCAATGACTGGTGAGATTTGAGAGCTCCGAGTCTTTTATTTTTCATTGTCCTAATGGTGGATGTTAAAGTGTTGAAAATGTTGTCCACCTCTTCATGCCATATTTTTCTCAGATTTTCTCCCTCTCTCTCCAATTTTTCAAAATTTTCTTTCAGCTTGGATAAATTTTCATCAATTTTTGCTTCACCTATGGAAAACCTTGAAATATAACTCTCAGTTTCCTCCATTTCTTTCTTGATTTCTTCTTTTATCTGTTTCACAATATCTGTCATGTCTTTGACAGCATGGCCGCGGTGGGGACCTGTGAGGCATTTGAAGCAGACAGGGACATCACACTGTTGGCAGTGCCCCTCACATCTTTGTCTTGGATGTGAAGGACAGGAGGGGAATACCAGCCGCTCTTCCCTGTCCGTGAAAGGAACAATATCATGTGTTTGAGACCTCAGACTGTCTACATGTTTATTTATACAGTCCCCGCGTAAACTGACTTGGCAGTTGTTACAGAATTGCTGGGTGGGGTTGTCACAAAGGTCACACGTAATCACGTCCTGTGCCCACGTTGACGACGATGCCAACTTCTCCTGTAAAATAGTTGTTTTATCGATCATTTTTTATACTTTGAAAACTGTGACTGTGTTCCTTTACAAATCTTTCTTTTAAAAAGCCTAACATTTCAAATGTTTTGCTACGCAGGCATAAGAAAATCGATGTTTGACCGCTGAGTTAGATGTTGGACCGCTTACTTCACGGTAGGCAGTACAAAATAACTAGGGCTGGGTATTGGCCAAAAATTTCGTATTGCGATATATTGCGATATTTTAAACAGTATTGCGATATGTATTGCAATATTTCCAACAAAAATAAAATGGCATTTTCTTAATAATTTTACTTTAATTAACACAGAATTTACAAAACTATGACAAGTAGCCAAAAGAATAAAAAATCTTGTTAAGTTTATTAAAGTAATGCTCTGAAATACATTCATAAAACAACTTTTGTCTTACTGTTTGGCTTCATAATAAACATTTCTTACATTAATTTTTAGTTATGCTGTCGGGAAAAATGCGTTTGTCGACTCTTGAACCAAACTGTTTGGTTTTTGGGTCCGACAAAACGCATGTTGCCCTCGAACGCAGTCAATAGATGTATAATAAAACTAGCGTAACAGTTTCGTAAAACAAGCTACTTTTTCACAGAGACTTAAATAATAAATATTTATTTATGATTCCTTTTTGGTGAATTATTTTAAGGAGGCTAGGGGGCCAACAAATTATTTGTTTATTAACCACCAGACAGAACTTAAATTTTGGGATATGACATCTTAAGCTGTCAACTATCATTTGGCAACGAAAAAATTCATAAATTTTAGTTTTAAAATTTGATCATTTTATTATATCAAAATTTTCGTAAAACAAGCTCCTTAAGACTTAAGTAGTATTTATTTATGTTTCCTTTAATGTGAATTATTTTAAGGAGGCTAGGGGGTCAACAAATTATTTGTTTATTAACCACCAGACGGAACTTAAATTTTGGGATATGACATCTTAAGCTGTCAACTATCATTTGGCAACGAAAAAATTAGGGATGTCTAAATACATGTATAAATTTTCCTTAGTCGAACATTCGATTGCATTATTTGAACGATACTCTACTATTCGGAGCATTTATTATTTTTATTATTATTTATTATATTTATGAAAGCATATTAAAATAAATTTGAAAATCGAAATAGATTGAAAATGGGGAATTCTAAAGTAAACACACACTATCCACACCTCCGATGAAAATGTTAAATACTGATTGTTCAACTAATGATTGCCCAAGCTACACATCAAAATGTCTTTTTTGTGAGATAATTGTTTTAATAATTATCAAACTTTAAAACGTCACAGCTATGCATATGTGGTAGTGTTAGATTAACGGCATCCTACTAGCTTGGGCTAGTGGGGATAACCCTTTAGCTCGATCGGTAGAGCACTGGACTGGCAAGCCAGAGGCCCCAGGTTCAATCCCCAGCACAGGCACAAAATTTTTTCTGTTACATTTGGCGCCTATGTTGGGATCCGGGTGTTCAATTTGGCGGATGAGAATTTCATTATTTCCCCATTTATCATGTTTATTTAATACTTCGCCCCACAGGCGTCGGCACTCCGAAAGAGATGAGGACATCTTATTCTCTGGAAAAAACAATGTTTAGTGTTAAATTAATTTTATTATACCTTTAGTGGGGTTAACCCTTTAGGAGATCAAAAGAGCACTAAAACTGGCAAGCCAGAGGCCCCGGGTTCGATCCCCAGCAGAGGCAATAAATTGTCTCTGTTACACATATATTGCGTGTTCATATGTAAATGTAATTGATACAAGTCAATTAAATAACTTTCATAGTCCAGTATAGCGTTGCATAATTTACTACGAACATTAACAAAGAAAGTCAGTGATTGAGAAATAATATTATTGCGGTATGTAATTACCGTATTTTCTATATGTACAATGTTGAAAATTATTTATTTAATTAATATACTGTGACTCTGTTTGAGCTCTTATTCGTCTATACAGCTGTATAGTTTGAGGAATGACCCCTTTTCAATTTTGAGATGAGAATTTCATTATTTCTTCTTTTCTTGCATTTATCATGTTTATTTAATATTCGAATGTCGTTACATTATTCGATCGTCGGTCCATTCGACTGACAGTCGAATAGTCGACTATTCGTTGACATCCCTAGAAAAAATTCATAAATTTTAGTTTTAAAATTTGATTATTTTATTATACCTTTAAGTGGTGCTCTTCTTCTAAAGGAGATCAAAATAGTCTAAAATTGGCCACAACCTCCCAGCCCATTTAAGATGTTATAAATTACAGGTAAACTTGGAGTAGCGTTTACCTGTTAAATCCTCCTTTTCCGATTAAAAAAAGGAGATAGGCAAGAAGTTTTACTTGTAAAATTAGGGATGAATCTGGGAATTCTTGTAAACGGTGTTCTCGCCTTGTGCCCAGGCGGACGATGAAGCCATCTTGTACTGTGAAATAAACTCTAGAGTATTAATGATACTGACATATAAATTGTCTTCCAAAACTTACTTTCACAAAAATATTTTATCATTTATTGATTGAAGTCATGGTTTTTCATGATTCGATCTTAGATATTATAAATTACAGGTGAAATTAGCTGTTACCTGTTTATTCTTCCATTTCTGAAAATCAAGATGGAAAACCCCCCGGAAGTTTAACTTTCGGTTCTCTCTAAGACAAAGGAAAACAAGGAATGGATCTAGGATTTCTTGACACAGAATTTTATGGGATTTTTTTTTATTCTAAAAGCCTAACAAGATATAGACCTTACTAAATTAGACTTTTTAAAAAGAAAAAATTTCCTTGTGGAACAAGTGTAACAAAAATGTCTTGTAGTGCAAGTGTAACAACTTGATTACTTTTGCGTAAGAAGCATCCTAGCTATTGCTTACCTCATAACCACCCCCTCCCACCCATACACGAAATAGAATCTTTTGAGGTATTAAATTTTTTTCCTCTGGTTTTTTCAGGTAAAACAGTCAATTTTCTCTTCCGCTGCTCCGATCCGAGCTTTACAAAGCTGTTGATCCTTATACATAAAGTTTTTGTTTCATTTTCTTTTTCACAAGAAGTTGATATTTTTTAAAATTCATTAAATTGGTACATATTACATAAAAAATCTGAAAAATTTTGATTCATATTATCTGAAACAAGCCCTGTTTTCATTTGTTACGATTACTGTTGATTGAACCACTTTATATGTACAATGTACAAACAAGGAAAGAAAAAAATATAGATTTTCAATTTTGAAATTGACTGTATTATTTTTCTCTTCATGGAGAAGTACTTAATGATAATGTTCGTAATATTTGATTTTTTAAATATTTTTCAAGTAATGAAAGTTGTACATGATTAACCCTTTTATGTCACATACACACCGGTATCTTAGTAGGCCCAATGTTACAAAATATTTGCTTGAGAAAAAAAAATATTGAATATTTTCATGAATATTTCATTTTAGTCTTCCAACCACCCCACGTTTGAGTAATATACTATATATTTTCCATTTCTCGCGTTAAGGTCCTCTTATTTCCATGTAAAAAGTCGAAGAAAATACTGTCAGGTTGTTTTTTGCAGTGATAAGATTGTGAAAACAAAAAATGGAAACATTATTGTGGAACAGATATACAGCTCAACAAAATTTTTAAACTCACGTGGTTTTTCTCACTAAATAAAGTCACATTTATCTTGCAATAAAGCTTAAGATTATCGAGTTTCAGTAGGAGACAAAACCCTTATAGTATTAAATTGTTTCATATTAAAAGTGCACATTCTCTGAAATAATTATCATAAACTGTATGATGTTAAATGTGTATGATTCTATCATAGGTTTTTACAAATCAATTAATGAAACTTCTTTGATAATATTTGGTTGAAATGTTCAAATAAACTTCTTAAAGATAAGTATTTTTCGAGGTACTTTGCACATTTTCCCTACTTGTCATGGTTTTGTCGAAATTCAGCGCCGAAAAATGACAAAACTGCATACAGAAAACGTGTAAAGGAAAGGATAATAAAGTATTGTTTATCATTTTACAAAGTAAATTGTAAATATTGAAAAGAGAATTCCTTTACATTCATGGTCTGAAACTTTGAAATTTTGCGTTGGAAAGTATCTTTCATGATCTTAGATTTCAGGAGGTTAACCTGAAAAATGGCATCTTTTTAACATGGAAAGCAGTCGAACAGATGAGAAATACTGCTATCATCTTGCGCCTTAGTGTTTATTAATGTTCAGAAAATACAGAAGTTGCACTCTTTCTGTATTAAAGCAAAGCAAAAGTAAGGTTTAAAATGAACGGATACATTTGACGAGAAACAATGAAAAACAATCTGGAAACTCTCATAAGATTTCAATTAAGAGCATATAAAATTCGACAAATTATTATGTAGGAATTATGTTTAAAGTAATGGGATATGATCAAAATTAAGTAATAAATCATTTTTAAAATATATTTTGTTGTCACATTACACAATTTTTGCATTATAACAATGTGACCTTAATTTGTGCGAAAAACCATGTGAGTTTAAAAAGTTTGTTGAGCTGTATATTAATTAACACAGAATTATACGTTTTTTTTAAAAACCTCTGACAAGATAAAAAAAAAACACATCTTGATAATCGAGCTATATAGCTAACAAACAAAAACAAGAAAAAGATTGTCTTCTATTTTAAGCAATCTGTTGTTTATTGTGTTTGTTTTGTATTCGAATTGGAAGGAAATGAAACTGCATAAAATGACAATACCTGAACACAGCGTAGGAAATATTAGGTTATTAAATAAAAAAAATGCTTTAATAAAAGTTATTTGCTGTTTTGCAACAACTTGACCTTGTCAGCAAATACAATTAATCATTGAGTCAAATGCCGACTGACTATTTTCATACGAATCGTTAGTCCGTTATATTATTTTTTTATTTTTACACTTAATTGTAACTATGGGTGAGACCGGTCAGCAGGGGTTGCTCACACCTCCATGGCACCTGACCCCGCTTCCGATGTTTTGGAGGTCCATGTTTGATCTGCTCCTATTTTGTATTGTTTTATGGACTTTTGATCTTGGATACTATTCGTTATCTCGATTTGCTTCATTGAAAAAAAAAATCAAATTTTAAAATTAAGATCAATAATCCTTGTATAATTGTAACTGCTGTTTTGAATGCAAAGCCTGCTACCAATCCATTGATAAATCACTGCATGGTTTCATCTAAAAAAAATTACATTCCAAAATTTGAGCTAGGGTAGACAATATTTTCGTGAAAACAGATTTTGTGAAAATTACTCATCCAATTCTCGATTTTAACATATCAATTGTAATATTGTTCCACAAAAGGAACATTTAATGAAAACAAATTACGCTTTAATACAGTTTATTCTTAGGATATATTGAATGATATTGGATTTGTAAACAATATCCCAAATTTATTATCTTAATTATTATTATCTTAATTTCGTTTCCCTAATGCGGGATGTGCTTATAGATCGTATTGTCATCATATGTCGTTTCATAATTGCTTTGATTGAAAAATGAAATTATGAACATTTTAATTCGATATGCGTTAGCCCCTTATTTGGAACTATGTTTACTTTATTGGTAACATAGTAAATATGTTTAAATGTGACACTTTTTAAATAATCAAAATAAGATTAAATGTTTATTGAAATATTTCATAGCTAAGGATCATATGGTTAATTAACAAGCATTTTAATTTTCCCAACTTTCAAATTTTTACCTCTGCTATAAAAATATGTAGGAGCTAAGGATAAGGCGACCATGGCCATATCGTAAATTAGATTGACTTTTTTTCCGCAAAATTTATAGCTAGAAAGGTTTGGGTAGTTTGTTTGGCTCATTGACAAAAGCATCTCTGAGCATGAACCTGTATGGGCAGATAACTAATTTTGATGTTTTTTTTAAATTTTTTATCCAGACATCCACTTACTAATATAGAGTTGTAGACACCGTAAGTTTTTCAAATTTAACCTAAAGAACTTTTAGATTAGACAATATAAACAATCCTTTAACCCTTAAAAGGCCTCTTGTTACAAAATATTCATTTTTGAATATACTTATAATCTAAATGAAAAATAAAAGTTATACGGCTTTTTTTCTTTCGTAATATACTCATACCTAATTGTTTCAATCTTATGATATTACAAATTGGCAGTCTTTGATGTCTTTAATCAACCTTTAAAATAACAATAAAAATCTGTTTCTTTTTCTACTTAGAAAAAAGTCACTCCAGTATTTTTTTCGTAAGAAATATAGGCATAATTGAAATATATTTACGTATTACTCACGATAGAATAATAGTGGTAAAGCATTATGCCTTTTTATATTTTCTTTAATAATAACTATTTGAACCTAAAGTCATATTGTAGAGCGCAAGGAAAATGTTAATTTTAGTCAGTAACCACAACTTTATTTCAATCTTCTTTATGTCTACATAGATATTTGATCAGAAAATCTTCACAACAAACACTGTGGTCGCATGTAATCATGTGATCGCTGGCTAGAACAGATATAAAAGTTAAAAACTATAATAAAACATCTTGAATGCGCATGAGTAAAATGTCTCCAAATAAGTACTTTATTTACAAAACATAATTACTAATAATGTTCATTTTATGCACTACAAGCATGTTACAATGTAACACTTAATACCGGTACTGAGTATTCATAACAGCAGATATATATTTCATTTATTCCATGTACTTTATGACTTTTACATCACCTGTTTTAATTGATCCTACCCATAACCTTCCTTCACTATCCAGACTCAGTCCACAAGGATTCTCAAGACTACAGTTGTAGTTGTCAATACATTTTAAAAACTGTCCATCCTGATCTAAGATATGGAGACAGCTATTGTTAACATCACTTATAATGATGTGACTAAGTGAGTCTGTCACAATTTGTACAGGTTGGAAAGGATTATTCCTCCTGACAGGTGAACCGTCATACCGGAATCGGACTCTTCCTGTCTTGTTGACCACTATCACTGTCTTGGCATTCATATCAGAGGCACAAATGTCCCCATTGTTACTCTCCACTACATGAAGTCCACCTTTACCACCACTAAAAATTCGCTGTCCATATTCATCTTTATAAATTTCTTGCATTGCCTTCTGTTCTTGAAAGCGGACAATTTTGTGATAACTTTGATCAGGAGTACACATAGTAATTAGTATGTCCCCTGATCTGGTACAACACAGTCCCATTGGATGCCATCCTTGGGATAAAGTGATTAGTTTCTCTATCCTCCCATGTCTGACCATGTTCACTATTCTTCTTAGATAATCACTATAAAGCAGTTCCTCCTGTCTGGTCACTGTTATATCAAGTGGATAAGGTTCACATTTAGTACTGACCATGTCCTTTACAAACCCATGTATATCAATACGTCTAAGTGTTTTATCTTTGCCTTGAACCCAAGCTTCATTAGTTCCAACGCAAAAAACTGAATTTAGAAATTCTGTTCCGGATGGAATATTTGCAATTACTTTAGCTTTGTCCAATAATTTTCTTACAGATAAAACAGCGACTTCATCTGTCAGATTTAAAATGGATATCTGTTTCAGTGTAGCTTTGTACTCTGCTAACTGTACGCTAATTTCACACCCCTTGACTGTCTTGCTTTTTAGGGCAGGAATAGGTACATCAATATCCGTAGGAATATCTCGGAATTCTTTCAATTTTGATATGTGACCTGTAACATCAGTAACTTTGTTAGACTTCAAGATTTCATTGTTTTCTTTCATGATAAGAACTAATTTTGGCCCTACATTCTGAAGCAAGGACTGGTGAGATTTGAGAATTCCAAGTTGTTTATCTTTCATTGTTCTAATGGTTGATTGTAAAGTGTTGAAAATATTGTCAACTTCTTCATGCCAGCTTTTTCTCAGATTCTCCCCCTGTTTCTCCAAAATTTCAAAATTTTCTCTCAGCTTGGATATCTTTTGATCCATTTTTGCTTCACCTAAGGTAAACCTTGAAATATAAGTCTCAGTTTCCTTCATTTCTTCCTTGATTTCTTCTTTTATCTGTTTCACAATATCTGTCATGCCTTTGACAGCATGGCCGTGATGAGGACCTGTGAGGCATTTGAAGCAGACAGGGACATCACACTGTTGACAATGCCCCTCACATCTTTGTCTTGGATGTGAAGGACAGGAGGGGAATACCAGCCGCTCTTCCCTGTCCGTGAAAGGAACAATATCATGTGTGTGAGACCTCAAGCTTTCTACATGTTTATTTATACAGTCCCCGCATAAACTGACTTGGCAGTTGTTACAGAATTGCTGGGTGGGGTTGTCACAAAGGTCACACGTGATCACATCTTGTGCCCAGGTGGACGACGAAGCCATCTTCTCCTGTAAAATAGTTGTTGGATTGATCTATTTTGTTATACAAAACTTCAAATTTTTGGCGGATTTGATTGACACATCCTTGCACTTTCTTAATCCTTCGGAAAAGTGGCAATCTTGTGAAAGTGCAAAGATATATCAATCAAACCCGCCAAAAAATTTGAAATTTTAATATCTTTTATATGAAATAAGATTTTTAATTAATTTTTGTGTGAAATGCTATAAAAATATATATGTCGAAATATTATAGAGAAAATAACTTCAAATCTGTGTCCAAGTACCTTTAAACATTCTAACATTTCTAATGTTTTGCTAAGCGGGCATTAAATAATCGATGGTTGTCCGCTGAGTGAGATGTTGAACCGGTCGATGAGATCAAGATGTTGGACAACTTACGTCACAGTAGACAGCACAAAATAACATATTTGTAGAAAAAATGATAATAAAAGGTATAACAAAACTTTTCTTGACTATGCTCTTGGGCAAAATGCGTTTTGTCGATCCTTGAACCAAACTGTCTGGTTCTTGGGTCCGACAAAACGCATGTTGCCCTCGAACTCAATAAACGTATAATAGTACTTGCGTAAAACAAGCTACTTTTTCACAGAGACGTAAATAAGTTTAAATATTTAGATATCTAATTATGTTTCTTTTTTGTGAATTATTTTAAGATGTTATAACTTAATGGTAAACTTTGAGTAGTTTTACCCGTTTACCCCTCCATTTCCGATAAGAAAAAAAGGAAATACCCAAGAAGTTTAACTTACTATTTAGTCTTGAAAAGTCAGGGATGGATCTAAGAATACTTGTGAACGGTGATCTTGTTCTGTGCCCAGGAGGACGCCATCTTGTCCTGTAAAATAAACTCTAGATTATCAATAATACTGACATATACATTGTAAATGGTCTCCCAAAAATTACTTTCACAGAAAGTTTTATCATTTATTGATTGAAGTAATGCTTTTTCATGTTTCGATCTTAGATATTAATAATAACAGGTGAAATTAGCTGTTACCTGTCTGAAAATCTAGATGGAAATACCCACGGAAGTTTAACTTAAGTTTAATCTTCTTAGACGAAGAAAAACAAGGTATGGATTTAGGATTTCTTGGCACAGAATTTTAAAGGATTAATTTTAATTCTTAATGTCTAACAAGATCTTACTAAGTCAGACTTTTTAAAAAATAAAAATGCCTTGCAGAACAAGTGTAACAACGTAATTACTTTTGGGTTAATGCATCTGCTAACCTCATAACCTCATACATTATCAAAATTATGCATCTTTATCATGTTTATGAACTATGTTATTGTCTTTTTTTTAATTACAGCTGTATTATTTATCAATCAGGCAGTGGATTGCATAATCAAATTTTTCCTTTTTCCCTTTGAATGTTCGCCCACTGGTGGTTGACAGTACACTATATGGAATACAATAAACTTGCACAAAACTTATTTAGTTAACAAATCTAATTTATCTTAAGGTATGCTAGACTTTGACATAAAAAAACAAGACATCTGATTTTAATTCAGATAATGCAAAGAAAAAAATGATAATGTGGATCACCTTTAAAAGAAAGGATTCTTCTCACACAAAACTGTATTTCCTGTGTTTAAAAATTAATGAAATTTTTATAGTCAAGAAGACGATATTACTAAGTGGTGGTATTAGTTAAATTAGTTTTGACCGTTTTATATTAGAGTCAAGGTCCCGTCAAGGTCATTACCTTTTCCCTGGTCATTAAGAATAAAAATAACTGCATCATATCATGAGATAGGGGTCTTCTACTTCAAAAGATTAAATGTTTTTCTTTTTGCATAAAAAGATCTTACCATATATGATCTATAAGATTACCAAATTGTCTCAAATAGTTTTTGGCTAATCTGGATTTTCTCTCAGACTGTTTTTCTCAATTTTTTAAGGATATTTAAGTTATTTTTATATGCGCCCTATATTTAAATTTTTCTTATTTTCACATATGGTAAAGCAGTCAAATGGAGATACAAAATAATACAGAAAAAGTTTTGACCATTTAGTAATTAGAGAGTAAAATCACTTTCCATGGATTTTTGGCTCATATATCTGTACTTAGAGTTGAAGCTTTTAAAAGCTAACATAATTGTAGATTGTTTGGAAATTCATATTCGTTTGATATATTCTAAAACTTTAGTTCCTTATTATTAATTTAGCTTTGAAAAATTCTTCTAGTCTTGATTGTGTAAAAATTATAATTAAATTCGTAGTTCTATAATAATTTTGAGAAACAGAAAAGAAGATATTTTCATACGCCACCATTCCGCCAAAAACCTGCTAGTTTTTGAACACAATTTACCATTTCTATTTAAAGATGTACAGTTGTGATTAGGAAAGAAAAATATGATCTAAGATATGAAGACAATCATTATTAATTTTTAACATCACTTATAATGATCTGACTGATCACTGAGTCTGTCACAATGTACGTTGGTTGGAATGGAATTGGATTCTCCCTGTCTTGTTCACCACTATAACTGTCTTGGCATCCATTTAGGCACAATTGAAATATATTTTACTTATTATGTTGGGGACTTATGATCACAATGGAATGTTTTTGCCTTTTTATATTCTTTTATATTATAATTAACCGAGCGTCACATTGTAGAGTGTAAGGATAACGTTCATTCTAGACAGAAACCACAACTTTATTCAAATTTTCTGTATGTCTTCAAAGAGATTCGAACAGAAAATCAACACTTGTAATTGATTGCTGGCAGAACAGTTATAAAAGTTTAAAACTATAATAAAATATCTTGAGAGAACATAAATAAAAAGTCTCCAAATACTCTATATAAGAATACAGTTTTTGAACCATGTAATTGTTAATTTTATGCACTACAAGCCTGTTTCACACATTGTGTATATAACAATAGACATATACTATATGTGTACTTTAAAAAGCGGATTTCATATTTTAGCTGCTTTGGTGCAGACAATAATGCGCTTAATTATGAATACTGCTGAGAAATCATTGACATACAGGTATACAATATACGGCATGAACATATGTAGCGCTTATTCACGATTACACCAACAATACCATACCCAGCGATTGCGCTAAATTTTGAATACGCCAAATTATGTATACGTACAGTTTTTGATATTTTTTTCATTCCATGTACTGGATGACTTTCACAACACCTGTATCAAATGACCCTACCCATAACCTCCCTTCACTATCCACACTCAGTCCACAAGGTCTATCAATACTAGAATTGTCCACACATTTTAAAAACTGTCCATTCTGGTCTAATATATGGAGACAGTTATTATTGACATCACTTATAATAATATGACTTAATGGTTCAAGCGCAATGTTTCCAGGTTGGAATGGAATAATCCTCTTGGCTGATGTACCATCGTAACGGAATCGGACTCTTCCTGTCTTATCCACCACTATCACTGTCTTGGCATCCATATCACAGACACAAATATCTCCATTGTTATTCTCCACCACATGAGCTCCTAATTCTCCACCCTTTATAATTTGCTGTCCATATTCATCTTTTTCAATTTCGTGTGTTGGCATCGGTCCCTGGAATCGGACAATTTTGTAACGACCCTGATCGGTAGTACACATACAAACTAGTATGTCCCCTGATCTTGTACAACTTAGCCCAAATGGAAGCCATCCTTGGGGCATAATAATCAGTGTCTCTATTCTCCCCTGTCTGACAATGTTCACTGTTGTAGTGTGGACATCACTGAATATCAGTTCTCCCTGTCTGGTCACTGAAAGGTCACTAGGAGAAGGGTCACACTTAGTGTTGACCATGTCCGTTACTGACCCCTGTATGTCAATACATCTAAGGGTTGTATCTTTACCATGAACCCAAGCTTCATTAGATCCAATGCAAATAACTGATCGTAAAGGATTTATTCCTGAAGGAATGCTATTAATTACTTTAGCTTTGTCCAATAATTTTCTTACAGATAAAACAGAGAATTCATCTGTCAGATTGGAAATGGGTGTCTGTTTCAAAGTAGCCTTGTATTCTGCTAACTCTATGCTGAATTCGCTCCCCTTGACTGTGTTGCTTTTCAAGGCAGGGATTGTTACATCAACATCTGTAGGAATTTTTCTGAATTCCTTCAGTTTAGATCTGTGACTTGTAATATCAGTTACTTTGTTAGATTTCAAAATTTTCTTGTTTTCTTTCACAATAAGTTCTAAATTTGATCCTGAATTCTGTAGCAAGGACTGGTGAGATTTAAGAGTTCTGACTCTTTTATCTTTCATTGTCCTAATGGTTGATTGTAGAGTGTTGAAAATGATGTCAATTTCTTCATGCCAAATTTTTCTCAAATTCTCTCCCTCTATCTCTAAATTTTCAAAATTTTCTTCTAGTTTTGATATCTTTTGATCCATTTTTGCTTCACCCATGGTGAACTTTGAAATATAAGTCTCTGTTTCCTCAGTTTCTTTCATTATTTCCTCTTTCTCTTTTTTGCACAATATCTGTCATGTCCATGACATCATGGCCGCGGTGGGGACCTGTGAGGCATTTGAAGCAGACAGGGACATCTGTCATCACACTGTTGGCAGTATCCCTCACATCTTTGTTTTGGATGTGAAGCACATGACGGGAATACTAGCCGTTCCTCCCTGTCCATGAAAGGAACAATATCATGTGTGTGAGACCTCAGACTGTCTACATGTTTATTTATACAGTTCCCACATAAACTGACTTGGCAGTTGTTACAGAACTGCTTGGTGGGGTTGTCACAAAGGTCACACGTGATCACATCTTGTGCCCATGTGGACGACGAATCCATCTTCTCCTGTAAAATAGTTTTTTTTTTTATACCTTTAAAATTGACTGTGTTTCTAAACAAATGTACCGGTATATCTTTTAAAAAGTCTTTACATTTCTAATGTTTTGCTAAGCGGGCATGAAAAAAATCAATGTTTGACCGCTGAGTGAGATGTTGGACCGGTCGATGAGATGTTCGTCCGCTTACGTCACGGTAGGCAGTACAAAATAACATGTGGATAAATGAAAATGAAAGGTATAACAAAACATTTATTGGGCAAATTGCGTTTTGTCGACCCTTGAACCAAACTGTTTGTTTTTTGGGTCCGATAAAACGCATGTTGCCCTCGAACTCATGAGTCAATAAATGTATAATGTTATAAATTACAGGTAAACTTAGAGTAGCCGTTACCTGTTTAGGCTTCCAAAAGAAAAAAAGGAAATAACCAAGAAGTTTAACTTTCGATTTAGTCTTGGAAAATCAGGGATGGATCTAGGAATTCTAGCGAACTGTGATCACGTCCTGTGCCCGGGAGGACGATGGAGCCATCTTGTCCTAAAATAAACTTTAGATTTATTATTTAATTTATAAATGATACTGAGATATAAATTGTCTTCCGAGATATTATAAATTACAGGTGAAATTAGCTGTTACCTGTTTAATTACTTTCCATTTCTCGGAATCTACATGGAAATACCCCCGGAAGTTTAACTTTCGGTTCTATTTTAGACGAAGGAAAACAAGGAATGGATCTAACATTTCTTGACACGGAAAATTAAATTTATTTTAACAAGATATAGATCTTACTAAGTCAGACTTTTTAAAAGTAAAAATGCCTTGTAGAGCAAGTGTAACAACTTAAGACCTGATTTTATGCTTTTTGGTGTTTCTTTTATTTCATTCAACTACACTCAAATGGTAGAGTTCAAAGAATAATGTTTATTTCAGATTCTAACCAGTATTCTATTTCTTTAAATTTTTATGTATGTCTATAAAAAATGAACAGAAACTCAATAATCTACTCCTCGATAGAAAAGTTTAGAAAGTTAAAAAAAATTTGAATATACATGACTGTACAACTCTCTGAGTTCATAACATCCGATATATTTAATGTGTTTTATTCCATGTACTTGATGACTTTTACATCACCTGTATAATACGATCCTACCCATAACCTTTCCTCGTCATCCACACTCAGTCCATGAGGACTTACAAGACTACAGTTGTCAACACACTTTAAAAACTGTCCATTCTGATCTAAGATATGAAGACAGTTATTATTAATATCATTAATAATGATCTGACTAAGTGAGTCTGTAACAATGTGTATCGGTTGAAATGGATTACTCCTCCTGGCTGGTGTACCATTATAACGGAATCGGACTCTTCCTGTCTTGTCCACCACTATCACTGTCTTGGCGTCCATATCAGCTGCGCAAATGTCTCCATTATTATTCTCTGCCACATTAACTCCCTTTTCCCCACCTTTAAAAATTTGCTTGCCATCTTCATCCCTATCACATTCTTGTGCTGCCGTCTGTCCCTGAAAGCGGACAATTTTGTAGTGACTTTGATCTCGAGTACACATACTGACTAGTATCTCTCCTGATCTGGTACAACACAGTCCCCACGGATGCCATCCCTTAGGTAGAATAATCAGTGTATCTATTCCCTCATGCCTAACAATGTTTACTGTTCTAGTGTTCACATCACTGAATATCAGTTCTCCCCGTTTATTAACTGAAATATCACTTGGAAAAGTTTCACATTTAATGGCGACCTTATCCTCTACAAACCCATATATGTCAATATATCTTAGGTTTTTATCTTCATTATTTACCCAAGCTTCATTCGTTCCAACACAGATTAATGAACGTATAGTTTTTTTGCCACAGGGAATGTTAGCAACTACTTTAGCTTTTTCCATTAATTTTCTTACAGATAAAACAGAGACTTCGTCTGTCAGATTCGATATGGATACCTGTTGCAGTGTAGCTTTGTATTCTTCTAACTGTATGCTGAGTTCTCTTCCCTTGACTATGTTGCTATTTAAGCCAGGCATCGATACATCAATATCTGAAGGAATGCTTCTAAAGTCCTTCAGTTTTGATTTGTGGCTTGTGACATCAGTTACTTTGTTAGACTTCAAGATTTCCTTGTTTTCTTTCATGATAAGTGCTAATTTTTGTCTTAAATTCTGTAGGAAGGACTCATGAGATTTAAGAACCTTGAGTCTTTTATCTTTCATTGTCTTAACGGTTGATTTTAGAGTGTTGAAAATGTCGTCAACTTCTTCATGCCATATTTTACTGAGTTTCTCTCCCTCTCTTTCTAAATTTTCAAAATTTTCTATCAGTTTGGATATCTTTTGATCCATTTTTGCTTGACCCAAGGTAAATCTTGAAATATAACTCTCAGTTTCACGTATTTCTTGCATAATTTCGTCTTTAATATGTTTCACAATATCTGTCATGTCCATGACAGTGTGGCCATGGTGGGGACCTGTGAGACATTTGAAGCAGACAAGGACACCACACTGTTGGCAGTGCCCCTCACATCTTTGTCTTGGATGTGAAGGACAGGAGGGGAATACCAGCCGCTCCTCCCTGTCCGTGAAAGGAACAATATCGTGTGTTTGAGACTTCAGGGTTTCTACATGTTTATTTATACAGTTCCCACATAATCTGACTTGGCAGCTGTTACAGAATTGCTGGGTGGGGTTGTCACAAAGGTCACACGTGATCACATCTTGTGCCCAGGTGGACGACGAATCCATCTTCTCCTGTAAAAAAGTTGTTTTTTTTATACCTTTAAAATTGACTGTGTTTCTAAACAAATCTATATCTTTTAAAAAGTCTTTACATTTCTAATGTTTTGCTAAGCGGGCATAAAAAAAATCAATGTTTGACCGCTGAGTGAGATGTTGGACCGGTCGATGAGATGTTCGATCGTTTACGTCACGGTAGGCAATACAAAATAACATGTGGAAAAATGAAAATGAAAGGTATAACAAAACATTTATTGGGCAAATTGCGTTTTGTCGACCCTTGAACCAAATTGTTTGTTTTTTGGGTCCGACAAAACGCATGTTGCCCTCGAACTCATGAAGTCAATAAATGTATAATGTTATAAATTACAGGTAAACTTAGAGTAGCCGTTACCTGTTTAGTCTTCCAAAAGAAAAAAAGGAAATAACCAAGAAGTTTAACTTTCGATTTAGTCTTGGAAAATCAGGGATGGATCTAGGAATTCTAGCGAACTGTGATCACGTCCTGTGCCCGGGAGGACGATGGAGCCATCGTGTCCTAAAATAAACTTTAGATTTATTATTTAATTTAAAAATGATACTGAGATATAAATTGTCTTCCTAGATATTATAAATTACAGGTGAAATTAGCTGTTACCTGTTTAATTACTTTCCATTTCTCGGAATCTACATGGAAATACCCCCGGAAGTTTAACTTTCGGTTCTATTTTAGACGAAGGAAAACAAGGAATGGATCTAACATTTCTTGACACGGAAAATTAAATTTATTTTAACAAGATATAGATCTTACTAAGTCAGACTTTTTAAAAGTAAAAATGCCTTGTAGAGCAAGTGTAACAACTTAAGACCTCGGAACAATAACTGGCAAGAAATATGCAGCTTACGTCATTTCTATCTGTTACAATCAAAACATTCAATGATAGACAATAAAATGAGCGGGAACAATTCGACGCGGACGGCCGATAAAACATTCGATTGAAAATTCTAATTTGAAATTCATTTTCAATCCACCTGAGCTGTTTTCAAAAATCAAGTCATACTCTGTCTTAGCTGTTAAGAATTCAGCACAAATGTTGTTTTACAGAAAATTATTTCCATTTTTAAAAGCATTAAGTCAATATGCATTTAAGAATCTATAAATAGTAACTCAAGTCTTTATGCTACATAATTGATCATGTGATCAAGTTTGAGCCAATCGGAGAGCTTGGAAAATATAAGAAAAAATACAAATTATATTAATATGAGTTTATAGCTATAATATAATCTTAAGGACACTAGTAAAAATCATAAAAGACATTTTTCATGTGACGGCCATTTGATGTTAGAAGGGGGGGGGGCGTGTCAAAAATTGTCGAGTCAGATCATGCTTTGTACCTATTAAGACCGCGGAACATTAACTGGCAAGATTGGAAATTGCAGCTCACGTCTTTTCTATCTGTTACAATCAACAAATGGAATGGGTGGGTACAATTTGACGACTTTTTCTAGACGGACTAGAAAACATTTGATTAAAATTACAGTTTGAAATTAATTTTCAATCCACCTTGAGCAGCCTTTATTTTAAACTAGAAGGCAAATCATTACTGATTGGCACAGTAGACAACTACCTGGTAAGTTCAATTTTGGAATAGTTTGAAAATAATAATTATATAAATCAAAATTTTCTATCCGGCGTTTTAAAGAAATACCACGGTATATGAAAGGACAAATATTTGTTGTCTGTTTAGTATAATTAACGTATGTATTAGGGGGGCTTAACGATCTTGCAAATAAATAAGAACATTTTTCAGTAATGACAAAACTAAAAAAAAAAGCTACTGTCATCCTAAAAATAAATATATGGCATGATCTGACTCGATAATTTTTGACACACCCCCCTTTCTAGAATCAAATGGCCGTCTCCTGAAAAAACAATGTATGTCTTCTTTGACTTTTACTTGTCTCCTTTAAATTATGATATAGGCTTTAAACTCATATCAATATAAATTTTAACAAAGATGTATTTGGGAAGTGAAATCATTCGTCTTTTTGATCATAAATTCACACTTTGCTTTTGAAAACAGCTCAAGTAGAAATAAATTTCAAACAAAAATTTTAATCCAATGTTTTCTTGGCCGTCCGCGTCGAATTGTACCCGCCCATTCCATTGTTTTGATTGTAACAGATAGAAATGACGTAAGCTGCATACTTCCAATCTTGCCAGTTAATGTTCCGCGGTCTTAATTTTTAGGTTGACAAGAGCTTTTTTTTGTTTTGTCTTCAATGAAAAATGTTTGACAACTTTCTTTATTATTTCCAAGATCATTACCCCCCCCCCCCCAACGCACACATACATAAATTACTGTAGAAGTACTTTTTTCCGCGTGGTAGTAATTTACGCTATGTACGCGTACACAAATCAGTCTAAGATATCCGCGTAATTTTTTACCCGCGGATTAAACAGAAATTGAGTTTCCGCGGAAATATGACCCCGTGGAAAAAACTACGTCTACAGTATACCAAACAGAAATCAAATATTTGATTTTAATTCAAAGAAGTGTGGTGGTTAAAAAGGAAAATGATAATGTAGGTCACCTTTAAAAACAAATAAACTTAAAAACTTGACTAGAAATTTTAACAGTATATAGCTCAACACATAATTATGCAATGCAAAACAATCGTTTTTAAGGGTTTACAAGGGTTGATCGGAAAAGTCGTGGACTCTATAAAATTAAAACCGTTTAAAATACATCAATGATATTTTTCACCGTTTAAGTAACAATATCTTTTTTATTGATTTAATAATGTATAATGTATACTAGTACATCGTTAGTTTTATTTATTAAAGCCGCTTAACCCGAAACAGGCACATATTATCTTACACAATAAAAGTACGTCATTACATAGATACTATATAAAAATATATTATAAGATTGATTTAATAGTTTATTACAACAATCCTTACATGGAAAACGCAGATCAAAAACCTTATTGACAAACAGTAGTTCCTGACGGAAGTTAAGATCTGTTGTGAAGTCAATTTTGAAAAAAAATAAGTTTATCGGATATATCTAATAATGAAGATAATTCAAACCCGAGTATTTTTTCTTTATTAGTAGAAGCCTTAGTCATAATACATCTTTTCAAAATTAAGAAATTAATTGAATATAATCCATAGTAACTTTTACATTAATATGCATATTTAAAGAATAAAAGAGAAATCAGATATTTTAAATGATTTTTTAAAAGAGCTAAAATATTGTCCGTGTACAGGTACTATATGTACTTTGTTGTGAAAAAATGCTCGGGTCTGTTCTTCATGAGATAAACATGTAAGCGATAAATTTAATTTTTCGAAAGTGATTTCACGCGATATCAACAATGATCAACATAGGATTATTTTTTGTGTGACCTAACAAAAATTATTTTTTTAACTTTTGAATTTTGATATCTTTTAAAAGAAAAAGACGTTGGGGATATAATTTGACAAAAGTTGAAACAATTTATGGACAATTGTTTTTCAAGAAGAAAAACGAATATATACTTTTAGCGATTAGAATCGGACCAAGCGGCTTTAATAAATTGATGTTTTTTAAAAAAGCAACGATATTTCCAGGCGGCACAATCATGTAAATTACGTTTTTCTACCTACATGTAAGTGTGACTGAAAAAATACCTGTCACAGCCTAGTCTAGGTATTGTAGTTGTAATAATGAACACAAATACGGCTGCTGGGTTCGATACTATTTAATATATACGTAATCAGAAAAAAGAAGAGGGTGACCTGAAATATAATATAAACTGTATTTAACATCTCTCACCTCACACACACTTTACGCGAATTTATTTAATCTTAAGAATTTTGATGATTTAGAAATTCACTTCAGTTAAATAAAATGATCAAATAGATACTGGATAATTATGGACAAAGAAATAATTTAACAATTATTTCTTACCGTAATCCTAGACTGAATTTGTCACAATATCATAAGATAATTTGTGTTGGGGAGAGAGAGCGTCTTCTCTCCCCAAAGTCTAAGGTTGGAGTGCTCGAGAAGTTAGTATTGGCGCGAATGCGCAGGAGACTTAAAACATTTTTGTTATGTAATCCTTTGTGCTTTTAGTACATTACATGGCATAATAGATTTGGATATTTAAAACCTGTACATTAAGTCACCTGTAACCGTACATTAAGTTGACAAAACTCTCAATTCTTAACTTAATCGACAGCGTTTTGTCAACTTAATGTACAATTAAAGGTAACTTAATGTACAGGTTTTAAATGTTGAAAACAATACATAATTGAAATAGGCAATTAAAGTTTTGATTTAATGAACAATCATACATCAATATCAAACAATTGTATATGAAATGTTCAACAGTATATCATCTTTGGAAATGACAAATCCAATGCAAAAAAGACACGTGTAAATCCTGATGCATAATAATTTTAGAACATCCATATCCAAAAGTTTCTTTATTAAATACAAACGTCTCATCCTCTTCACAAAATTTGTTAATGAATGCTGGACGTGGTAAATCCATTCCATGAATGTTTAAAATATATCTAACAGCAATTTAAAATTTAAAAGAAAAAAGGTTATTTCCAGATGAAATAATAATCTCACTAGATGCACTGCAGGTGGAATCATTTTTGGGACAGAGATCACAAATATTATCTTTTCATACACTTGCCATCATCTGAATCCCTAATATTTCCATGAATTATTTCATTTTCGCTCTGTTGCTATTCATTGTTGGTTCAATTGTAAGATATCTGTGGCCCGTTTTTTCTGTTATAAACTGTTTCCTCAAACTTCATACAAGGGGGTCGCCGTTGTTGTTCTCAAAGAATGTTTCGTATCACAGTGTCCCTTAAAACCTGATTGTTAACAAAGATTTGCGATAGTTTTTGTCAAAACTTGAACACCAACTTCAGAATCTGCAAACCTACAAGCCTCTGCTTGTGTCTACCTACTGTAGAGTATTTACCACACTTTGGCCCGTATTTTGGAGAAATATGTATTACT